CAGTGTTTTCTTTGCTCCACTTCTTTGGTGATTGACTTTCCATTGTCATCCTTCACTGGCCTAATTTGTGTCGAACTTTTGGCCGATAGGTACCTAGTTGTTTGGTAGAGTGTGGCGAAGTCTCCTTTGCCTTCAGCCTGTTCTGCTTCACTTGCCACATGGCTTCGTAATATTTTCTTTTGCCTTCCGTGGCACTCTTCTTTACTCTTTTGTTCAGTGTATTGTAGCTTACATTCAAATCCTGTTTTCGTTGCTCGTCGGTGCACTGGATGATCTTTTGTTTCACCATCCTTCTCTTTTCTATTAGTTTCCAAGTGTCCGTAGTGAGCCACTGTTTGTCCTGTCTCTTCTTTCTGCCTAGAACTTCCATGCAGGTCTGACTCCACACCGTTTTTAGGTTGTCCCAGTGCTTTTCGACACTGACCTTTTCGCTGGTGTTGATTTATGTCTCGGCTTTGTCCCTTATGCTTGCAGTGCAAATGTCCTCTGTATCCTGGTCCTTCAGTTTCTGAGTGTTGAACTTGGCTTGTGATCTATCTGCAGCTCCTGTTTCTCTGAAAGCTTTTAATTTGATTTGGATTGTCCCTTGTACGAGATAGTAGTCTGAGCCAACGTCCGCTCCTCTTCTTACTTTTGTGTCCAGTAGGTTGCTCCTCCACTCCCTTGAAATTGAGATGAAGTCAATTTGGTTTTTGGTTCGCCCATCTGGTGATACCCATGTAGCCATGTGGATATCTTTGTGTTTGTATACGCTGCCACCAACCACTAGTTCGTTGAAGGCGCAGAAGTCGGCGAAGAGTTCTCCATTTTCATTCATTTCTCCGAGAGCTTCTCTACCCATGATGAGTTCCCTTCCTGTGTTGTCTGGTCCCAGTTTGGCGTTCATGTCTCCCATTAGTATTTCAATGTGACTAGCTGGAGTATTGTCCATTGATAGATGCCCATGGTAGTTGTCTGTAAAATTCTTCTTTCTTTTCGAGGTTTGCGTTGTTTGTGGATGCATAGCATTGTATAACTGACACTCTCCTTCCTTTGGAGTTGAGTCTGGCGGTCACTATCCTGGGCGAGATCGCCTCCCATTGCATCAGGGCCTTCGTTGCCGTCGGTGACATCATGATAGCCACGTCCTCGATGTGCGTGTGGTTATCTTCTGGGTGACCGGAGTAGATCACTGTTCGCATACTTAACAAAGTCCATTTCATCAAAGTGAGGCAAGTCATGCAAAAAGAAAGAAAACAGAAAAGGAGAAAGGACAGTGCCTTGTGGGACACCAGCCTCAGTAAGCAATGAAGTGGACGACTTCCCCTGACATACAGTGTACTGCTTTCTTCCTGAGAAATAAAAAAGGAGCCATTTGACAACCCAACACCCAGTTTGAGTTTCAGAAAGCTTGTTTAACAAAATGTCCCTAGGTACTGAGTCGAAAGCAGATGTGTAATCTAGGAAGGTGCAGCGAACAAATTTATCTCCCTTGTCTAAACTGGAGACAATGTTATGATGCAAAACTGCAGCTGCATCTAGAGTACTTCTACTGTGTTTAATAGGCGAATTGTTCGGGATCGTTAAAGGCTTTAAATGAAGGTTGAAGATTAAGTAAGAGTAACTTTTCCATAGCTTTTAGAAAAGGAGAGGTAATAGCAATAGAGGTCTAAATTTAATATATGTTCCAGTAGATGACTTAGGTATAGATAGGTACAATTTTAATGTCCTTCCAAACAGCTGGCACGACATTTCTGGAAAAAGATTCATTAAATATGTCCATGAGAGGATATACAGGATATTCGCACATCCTTTAAGAATAAGGCTAGGCAAACCATCTGGACCTAAGCTACAAGAAGGGTTCAGAGACTGGAGATATTTTAGAACGTCATTTGTATTGAAGCCAGGGAATCATGTTTGATTAACACTTTTAATACTAGAAAGATTGTCATTTGTGGGAGAATGTATGAAAGACTTGTTTAGTGTGCACACATCAAAGGAATAAGGAATACTATTCATCTGCTTACTACCAGTAATTTCTTTGAAAAGTTTCCATATATTAGAGGCATTTTTACAGGATATAAACTCCTGGTTATAAATTGAATTCAACCTGTGCATTTCAGACTTAATTAGGATGTTAATTCTTTTCAAACCAATGTTATCCTTCATTTTATATAACTTTTCTTTTTGCCTGTAAAGCTTTTCAAGTTGAGGGGAGGAGAAACAATCAAATCTGATGAAGAGCGTTTCTCTGGGACAACAGCTGTCAAGACAAAATTTGAGGTAACATGTAATATTAGAGATAGCGTCATCAAGAGAGACTTCACTAAACAAGTCCCGCCTTGTATTTTTGAGCATGCTCCTAAGATTCTGAACATTCTCCTTAGAGTCACATCCATGTACAGTTTTTTTGGAGAGGTGTGAAAAAGTTCTCTCGTGTAACTTTCCATAAATTTTGAGTAAAGTCCGTACAATACAATGATCGGAGTTGAACAGTGGGGCTCTTTTACAAGCTTCATATATTCCACGGTCATTTATAAATACAAGATCAAGAGAAGTATCCAGTCTGGTGGGAAAGTTAACGACATCTTCATGACCTAGCGCTGTAAGAAAACTTCAGTCACAAGAATTAAAATCACCTGTCACTATGGACAATGAGTTTCCAAAAGAGGCGACAGCGAAAATAGTGAATTCATCAGCATACATAAATAGTTCTGAAGTAGTACAACAAGGTGTGACATAAATGTTCGTGATAAAAATGAAGTTGTACTTGGAGAGGTGTTTAGGTCGACATTTAACAGTTATACAGTCAATATTATCATTTGAGAATTTAAAGCAGACGTTGTTGGCAACAGACCACAATTGTCTTGTGACACATTTTGGGAACCATATCTTCGATATTTACCAAAGCTTTCTCTAGAGAATTAGACGGCTTGAAATAGACTTTAATATTCTATGAAGCAGATAGTCTTTGAAGTTGTTCAGCTGTCTCCTTTCGATATGGAATGGCTATCGTCGATAGCCAAGACGTTTCAAATTTCTGTTTTCCCTTCTACTCCTTTTTATTTGATAATATTATTTAGTAGCTTTTTCAGATAACCATTTCCAATCAGAATTTGTTTTATATTGGATATCTCGTTCTCCATATCATCCATCATTATCTGTTTTAATGTTTCTAGCTCTGTTCTGTCGAGATTTAAAGCTACTGAAACTTCCATTCCTATTGGATGATCTGACTGGAAATTCAAATACTTATTGGAATGTATCGGCTTTCTGTATATGGTAAACTTTAGTTTCTCGTCAGTTTGTCTTTTTACAAGACAATCAAGAAAGTTTAGAGTCCCCTCAGCCGATTCTATTTCATTCGTAAACTCAATATATTCTGAGATTAAGTTAATTTCTGTTAGAAAGTTTTCTTTTTTAGCTTTCTTTATGACAATAAATGTGTCATCTACATAGCTGTAACATTCTAGGATGACAGCTAAGACTTGTCAATGCTTTCTTTTCTAGGGCTTTCATATATAGGTTTGCTACAATTGGAGATGCTGGTGAACCCATTGCAACTCCATTTGTTTGACAGTATAGTTTGTCTTTAAAGGTAAAATATGTAGGTTCCAAACAAAGTTTTAAGCATTTTATAACTTCATCTATTGATAATAAAGATTTAATTAATACTTCCTGATCTTTTTCAAGTTCATATTTCATAATATCAAGTGCGTGCATCACATATAGGGGGAATACTAGTGAATAGAGAAACCACATCAAAACTTGCCATAACTTTGTCTTCTTCAATAATTATGTCCATTACTTTCCTTTTAAACCCCTCAATATCTTTAATGTTCGAAGAAATATTGTATCGAAGTGATTTCAGTATTCGTGATATGTGTTTTGATAAAGTAGATGTCACTGAATTGGTGAAATCAATCATTGGTCTTCAAGAAACATTTATCTTTTGGATTTTAGGCCTTCCAGAAAAATAATTATTCTTTGAAGACCAATGATTGATTTCACCAATTCAGTGACATATACTTTATCTTTAGGAGCATTGAGTCTGGAATATTGTAAACTATAGCCTGATGAGATGGGACTATACACTGCATCATCTCGGCAGCCAACCAGTCAATGAGATTTTCTGCTTTATTTAGGTTGTCCAGAGAAATTTTAGGATGTTTTTTTAAAATGCAGCTTGTTGGGTATAAATCCGCGCTTCCCGTTTAAAACACAATGTGGTTTCCTACCCGAAAAAATATGAGGAAAGCCACCTTGTGACCCATGTCTCAGTGCGTGCTGGAATCAGCTTGCTTAGTAAATGTGTTCAAGGAATAGAGTGAAAAGCGGCATTGTAGTTTAAGAAAGAGACTTGAATACACTGAGCGCCTTTATCAGGACTTGAAACAATATTGCAGTGGAGTACAACGACGGGATCGAATGTGCTTCTACTGCATTCTTAAGCAAACTGCTTTTGGTCATTCAAAGAAAGAAGGTTTAAGAACATGCAAGAGAAGTCCCTCAATAGTTCTCAATAATAGAGATGTAGGTAGTGGTGATTGGTCGAAACCTAAACCTGATCCAGAAGAAGATTTTGGTATAGGGACTATATCCTTGTTATATGGTGCACTGAAAATCTGTGTAAGAGGATGACAAAATATATCAGCACACTTTAGACCTAGGCAAATTCTAACTACCTCCACCCTCTCTTATTTTCCATTTCCTTCGTACTTTCATGATATTTATATAAACTTTGATTATCTATCCACTTCATCTTTGATACTACGTAACTTTTAGGATTTGACCTAATTCATTTACTGAATTGTCTACATATACACACGCATAATAATACCATCGTTATTCTTATTGCCTATCTGCATAAACCTTATTATCCTTATCACTGACGTTCAAGACATTTACCACATTCTTATTATATGATCCACAAAATCACCGTCATTGGTTAAAATTTTTATAAATAAATCCATGTAAATCAGAGTAAATTTTGAAGATGTAATCGAAGACAATACTGTTGCTTAAATATAAATTTGCAAATCGCTCCTAAGGTCTCCACTGCTTTCTTTTGTGTTGCAGTCGTTTGTCTTCCTGTTTGTCTCACTATATATAGCTTCTATATGACTTGCAATCCGAAACGCACTCGAAACCTCTCGCTCTATATGACTTGCTGAATGATGATGAAGAAGGTAGATACTTGGCCACAAAAGATCTGCAAACATTATTAGTCCCATATCCTACAGCTGCCTCTCAAATCACCCATTACCTTCATCCACTACTGATTCTGGCTGACAATTGTGAAATATTACCTTTATACCTATAAAAAAATCCCAATAACCACCTGTACAGAGCTAATAAAGCTTTTTACTTAAGAATTGATGAAATTTTCCTGATGGTGGTTGCATGGATAATCTGTGACTGACCGGCGTGATGATTATTTCCAGCTCCTACATACTCCAGCTGTCATTTAATATGCATTACTTAGTTCTCGCGGCAATTTAACTTGTCTATTTGAGTACGTTGAATTCTTATTTCAGTGACAAAGCCACTAATTCTGTTATTTTCATTTCTGATGCTCTGGTGGATGTCTTATATTCTCATATACTCATGCACTTTATTATTCGCTATTCTCCTGCAGTATATGGCACAGACGCCTGTCACACTCCCCGGGAAGCAAAATTTTGTTGGCGGATTCGGACTTGTCCAAGTACTTCAGACCCAAGCGCGTTCAGATGCTCAAAATGTTGAACAAAGGCCACAGAACATGAAGACGATAACAACTATCCGTCCATTTGTCCCAGCAGTCTCTGGTAGGGATATAAACACTAATACTGCTGTGCAATATGTAAGAAATACTGCAGAAATACCAGTCTTCGGTGCTCCTGGCGCTTTTGTTGCGGCTCCAATGAACCGAACGTTCACCCCGTTTGTTAATCCAGTCAGGAATTTAAATCCTGGCTTGATTACTTCTCTTCCTGGTGGTGGACAGGGGCAATTAGGTGGTGCCCTCTCCAGCCTAGCGAATTCACGCAAACCTTGTAATTGCACGAAGTCACACTGCCTTAAATTGTACTGTGAGTGCTTTGCACAAGGTCAACTTTGTCAGAACTGTAATTGCCACAACTGCATGAATAACCTAGCTTATGAAGAAGAACGGGGGAGAGCTATTAAGATGACTTTGGAACGAAATCCTACTGCATTTCATCCGAAAATTGGTCGTGGCGAAGGTGAAAGAAAGCATACTAAAGGATGTAATTGCAAGCGTTCAGGGTGTTTGAAAAACTATTGTGAATGTTATGAAGCAAAGATAAGCTGCTCAGACCTGTGTCGCTGTCAAGGCTGTCGCAATACCGAGGAAAGTGTAGAAAGGCGCTCCCTTATGCGTTTGGATGCAATGGGAGTCTTGAGGTCAAGACAGCCTTCTTCCTTCAAAAAGCACTTAGTAAAACCTGCATCGGAAACGTTGTCTCACGTATTCTTCACTTGGGAAGTGATTGAGGCAATAGCTACTTGTATAATGGCCCAGGCTGAAGAGTTAGATCGTCGTGATGTACCTCCAGCGGCAAATGAGCGAATACTTCTGGAAGAATTTGGACGCCTTATTGATCGTGTGGTGGAATCGTCTGTCAAAGTTCATACACATCCATTGAGTGGCATCCACACCTTGGCTTCGATCGACGATAATGAACAAGGTCTGACACATAGTGGGGGGTCAACTGGTCCTGGAAGTCTAGGTGGTAAGGGTAGGGGAGTAGTTGGAGTAGCAGCTGCTGCGGCTGCTGCCGCAGATGTTCTACAGGATGACGAAGATGAGGAAAATGAAATGTTAAATGAGATGGATGTAGATGATGCCGACGATATGGAAGATGAAATGTACGACGTTGTCGGAGAACCAACACTTTCACGTCACCACCAACATTCCCGATCGCACCTTGCACGCCGTCATCGATCTGCACACCTTGTTTCTGACTTTGACGATGACATAATGAGCGATGATGACCCTGTAGATAGGGTTCATGCTGTACCTCCTACTGTTAGACCAGGGATTAATTCATACAGATTTCGGGAAACCCATTCACGACGGTTGCAAAAAACAAGTGATAACAAGTACACGTCACATCATACTCGGCAGAGTTTCAGTAACCGCAATCATCGTCACCACGACCCTGACCTGGTGTAACTTTGAGTTAATGACACTAATTATATAAAGACTCCATTAATATCAAATAACTACAATTTTAATTGTGCTCATCCCTCCGTAATTTGTGACCTTTGGACTGTATTTCTTACTATTACCTGTCTCAACCATCAATTTTACCCTAATTTTCATTTGGTTGTAATTTGGTTGCACTCATTTGTATTTTACAAATCAATATATATATATATTCTCGTTCCTAGCCTCGTATGTACTGAAAATTAACTACTGCTGTTACAATACTTCTTTGTATGTTTACATCGCTTCCACCTTTTGTAAAGTGACATTATGCGTGTATTATTCCATTACCTTTTCCTATGCATATCTTGTATAAGTCAATAACTATATATGCTTACTATTCGTGTATGTTATTTGTCATATTGATGCTCATGTACAAAAACTGAGAATATATTATTCTATATATATATATATATATATATATATATATATATATATATACTGTTTCTTGGAATAAAGCAGAGTACTATCATTATTATTATTTTATTTATTTATTTAAACGCATAAAAAGTTGGTACAATATGGCACCAAGAAGGATGCGCCACACAATAATAATAAAACAACATAGGTCAAAAGAACAAAAAAGAAGGAAGAGAAATATATATATAAGTAGAGAACGGATAAAGAACTTCATCTGGAAGGAAAACAGTCACGCTTAACAAGTTCAAACAGTATTCCTTAACTATCATCAGGAAGGCAAGAAAGAAGGAAATTGCGACACGTGTAATAGCACGCGATAAGTTTCATTGATTGTTTGTTGCTTTATTCAATTCATTGTGTGAGGGCTGAGATGCTGCCTGGGCGCCGAGACCGAAGCACGTGGTTTTATTAGGGGCCAGACCCCCCCCCGAGCCTTTGACTTGGAGTCTAATCCGCAAGGCAGCGGAGCAGCGTTGAGAGTTGCATTCCCATGGTTGACAGTGACCCATATGGTTTCAGACGCCATTTGATCCGATTGGATACTGGAGCCCATGTACCCCATGGTAACTGCTTTTAGTTTAACCGATATCCAAACAACCTTCCTGACATGGTAGAACCTGCAGGGACAGAGTCTCAGTCAGTTTAGCATGTTGGGTCATTGCGGAATTCAAGCCCAACCACCACGACAAGGTAGCAGTTATCGGGAGGGATTATTATTATTATTAAAGCCTGGGTTACTACAAAAATATAGGTATCATGAAAACCATGGGTAAACTCGGTCAAAATTGTTATATTGAATAAACAGATGAAAATTGGCAGCCGACACCTACCTAAATTTGTAGAATATATTGGTCTTCAGTCGGTTTAGGCGCATAAGACCAACGATTTCCAGTAGTTTGTGACGTTTGTATGGAGCTTTTTTCAGGATTGAAATCTTAACAGGTACTGAGAATATAGCTAGAAAATTTCTAAAATCCGGCTAGATAAAGGGCTCGTCAACACCCTAGACTACCATTAAGATTGCACCTGATTTAACACCATGTCAAAGACGCTGCTGCTCAGTAAATACTGGATGCTGATAACCCTAATATAAGACAACTGTAGATAGTGTTTCATGAAGTATTCCGTCTATTGTGGAGTTTTTGTACTTGGTAGTCCTAGCACATAGCCTCCTATAGCTGCTTCTAGTTCTACCAGATGGAATGCAAAGAGAGAGCTGCGTATAGAGAGGATGCCCAGGGTCTGACAATATAGTATCCGCTAGTTTCTTACATGACATTATATGTCTATCCACCAAAGTGTTAACCAGTTGGTTTAACGATTTCCCACTTGCCCTACTAACCGCTTTTAGTCCCCTTCTCAGCAAAGCAAAGTCTTTCTTAAGTAGTCAAGGAAAGACTAATAGGGAGCAGTAAAGAGGGATGGGTAGAATACAAGAATTGACAAACTGAGAAAGCAAAGACTGCTTTATACCAGACTGCCTTAACTACCTAACGTAGAACGTTAAGCGAAACATCTTTCTAGTAACTAGCAAGATATGGGAGGAACAGAAAAGATCGGAGGAAATACTCAGTCCAAGATACTTGACGTTAGATGTAATTTCAACCTCTATGTCGTCAACGATAGTGGGGCCATGTGAGCTAACTAGTTGTAGGTCACGTTTTCGTCTGAAAGTGAAATTGACTACCTGACATTTAGACAGATTCAGCTTAAGACCGTTTGAAGAGGACCACTGACTAATTTCCGACAGGAAGTTATTTAATTTGGAACAATCTGACTGAGAGTTGACAGACATAAAAACAGAGAGGTTATCAGCATACTTAACAAAAGTGGCTACATCAGAGTGGGGCAAGTCATGTAAGAAAAACGAAAACAGAAAAGGAGAAAGAACAGCACCTTGAGAAATACCAGCTAAAGTAAGTGAGGTAGTGGAGGACTTTCCATTGTAGACGATGTACTGCTTCCTATCAGAAAAATAGGAATGCAACTACTTATTTGTCCAGCTTTCAGCCTGTGTTGCAGCAAGCTTACTTAGCAAGAGGGACCTGGAAACAGAGTCAAATGCAGATGTGTAATCAAGGAAGGCACACCGAACGTATTTAGCTCCTCTATCTAAACTAGAGACTATATTATAATGTAGGACAACAGCGGCATCTAAGGTACACCTACTATGTTTATAAGCAAACTGTTTGGGGTCATTGAAAGGCTTTAAAGAGGGTTCAAGATTAAGTAAAATAAGTCTTTCCATAACTTTCAAGAAGGGTGAGGTAATAGCAATGGGTCTAAACTTAACATTAGGTCCACTTGTTGATTTAGGCACTGGAACAATCTTGATATTTTTCCATGAGTCAGGTATAATACTTCTGGAAAAAGATTCGTTAAAAACGTCAGTTAATGGGGAACACAAGATGTCAGCACACTTCATGAGGATAACATCAGGACCAAGGGACTGAGTAGGTTTGAGAGATTGAAGACACTTGAGGACATCATTCGTATTAAAGCATGAGAAACAGTCATTATTTACACTATTAGAGTTAGGAATCATAACATCTGCAGGGATATATATGAAGGATTTACTAAGCATGCCAACATCTACAGAAATATCAATCATTATTTGCTTACTACCTGTGATTTCCGTTAATAACTTCCACATATTAGATGGGGATTTACATGAAAGAAACTTCTGGTTATAGAGAGCATTCAATCTTTGTAATTCAGCTTTAATCAAAGTGTTCATTCTCTTAACACCAGATTTATTTTTTATTTTGAACAACCTCTCTTTTTCACGGCGAAGCTTTTTGAGTTGAGAAGAAGCGGTCGAATTTTAAGAAGATTGTCTCTTTTGGACAACAAACATCAAGACAGAAATTTAGATAATGTGTTATGTTAGTAATTGTGTTATCAAGAGTTTGTTCAGTAAATAAGTCCCAGTTTGCGTCTTTTAACGTGGTCCTTAGATTCTGTGTGTTGTCGTGAAAATAACAAGTATTATATAAAAACAATGCTGTTTGCATTGAAATGGTAGACATAGATGAATCAACAGAATATAATGTTGAAATACATCGTTTGTACACTGACGCAAACGTCAGGAGCTAGAAAACATCAAAACCCATCCCACTGTGATATCAGTTACTCCTCAGTCTGACAATCTATTCACGATGAAGTACCATTCCAATGTAGCTACCCAAGTGAGCAATATCCCTAGGCGTTATGAAGAAACGTCCGATTTCTGTTTAGAAAACTGAAACGCTGGAGGTGTCTAAGCTACAGAAACCCCCATATAACATGTGCTGGCTGTCCTGTTAGCCACCATCACCCATGTAAATATAAGAAAGGAGATACCGAGGTAACTAAATTAAATTCCAAATCCAGAGCACAAGAGCCCAGTGATATGATGCAAACGCAAGTATCTCTAAGCCATCTTTCTAAGAGAATGTTAATTATGATAGACCAAGCTTCTAGAGGTAGGCCTAATTTGTCTCTAGTCGAAAACCAACTTAAATCCAACCACTAGTGCTAGACAAACGACACAGCGAGGTTATCGGTATTATTCTGTTCATCCACTACCCAAACACGTTGTTATCCAGCCCCCTTTAAATGTTCTATTAACTAAATGTTATAGAACCCCCCCCCCTAAACATCGGCTGCAGACTACATTCAGTAGGCCAAATAAGCTCATAGAACCCATTCATACATCTTGTGTATTTAGTAGGGGGAATGTGTCGATATTTACACGAAACTTGCTATGGCCTGATAACCACAACAACCAGATACCAAGACTTCACTCCTATTCTGGCAACAAACTGCTGAATACTCATATCGACTATAACTTCGGCGATAACATTACCCCTACAAGCCGCTGCAAGCAGGATTTTCACCAGCGTCAGTTAACGGAAACACCTTGGATCATCCATACAGCACGCACGATATCAGATCAATGCCTTGCCGGCATAGCGAACAGTGGCTCTGAAACATGGCCAATACGAGTTGAAGAAATGAAAAGGTTGACTGTTTTTGATCATTGATGTTTACGATCTCTTTCTCACGTTATGTGGTATAATAAGGTAAGCAATGTTGATGTTAGGCGTAAAGTGTTGGGCAAAGAGGGCAGATCAATCGATGAGGCTATAAAGTTACATAGATTGAGATGGCTAGGTCACGTGCTGCGCATGCCTAACCATCGCCTCCCCAAACAGGCATTACTAGCTGATATAGGTGCAGGTTGGAAAAGAGTGAGTGGTGGCCAAACAAAAACATGGCTCATCAATCCATGAAATCCTTGACAGTTAAACTGAGTCGGTCAGGTAGGGAGATGCAGACTTCCGGGTTAGGGCCCTCGGGACTGACTCTAGGAATCAATGGCTGGAGACAGTAGGTGACATGGCTCAAAATCGTTGTCAGTGACGCAGATGTATTCAGTCTCTGTAATCTTTCAATTTCTTTTTTACCATTACTCATTCTGTTTCACTCTTATACTTGTCAAATTCTCTTCACTCATATGTGCAACCTAGTTCAGTAACCCAATTCTGTCACAACTCAATGACTCG